TTTAAATTATAAAAACTAAAATTTAAAATAAATAAAATTATAACGACTAAAAAAATATATTTTTTTAAAAAAATTAACTAATTTGAATTTTTTAACTTGATACAACTAAAACTTATAATCAATAAATACTTTATTATATATTATATTATTATAAATAGTTTATATTACGATGCACAATTATCTTTAACTATAGGCTATTTCTTCTAAAAAAAATAGTCGCATCCAAAAATAGTTTGTAAGAAAGTTTCTCTATCCATATATAATATTTTGTATTTTGATATATTTAATTATGAATAGAAGAAATATATTTTATTTATATTTTATATTTCTTTTATTTCTCATCACATCATTTATTATATTTATTTATTTTCTTTTTACGGTATGCGTTAATTTTTTTAACATGGCTTCTCCCTCCCATAAAATTCCAGATTTTAAAAAATACGGTATACCTTTTCCTATGTAATCAAATCGTTTTTTTTGGCGGTGGCGATAAATTAAAATGATATTTGATAATTTATGGTCTTTGTAATTATTATTTTTTGTGTGGCGTAAATAGCAAAAATAGAAAGGCTGAGTTTATGGGATGTACGTGAAGCATTGGTGTCCATGCAGTTTGGATTTATCCGTTACCACATCTTCTTCCACCATTTTGGAATTTTCTTTTGATCTGACTCAGATGTGATTCAGACTCATCTGAAATGTTAGCCCAAAAGAATATTTCCAAGTTGAAACTTGAAACCCAGGTGCCAGGTGCCAGGTGCCAACTGCCAATGTCCTATTCGTATATGTCTATATGGGGCTTCTACTGTATTCTCACAAACAAAAAGAGTCATGAGTAAAAATATAGAATAACAAACTAATTCAACTATAAAACAACGTTTAGAAGTTAGTTGGACCAAATTGACCAACTAAATTCATATAATGATACATAAGTTAATTATCTTTTTAATTTAAGTAGTATTTGATTTATTATAATTTAATAATGATTAAATTCAACAATTTTCCGTATATGTTGTGAATATTGTTTAAATTTAAGTGAAATTTTAGAAAAACAATTAAAATATTGTCATGTATTTAAGAAAAAAAATATAATAGAAAATATATTTTTTGTTAATGGTGGGAGTTTAATTTAAAGATTTAAAGAGAACTCCAAAGTGAAATTCTTTTTTCATTAGAAGAGTACGCGGGTATCAATTTACAAAAGTTTCTCTTTCTAATAAGGAGGAATTTAATGAGTTCTACTTAAGTTTTTAGTTGCTTTATGAGTCATCACATGAAATATGATATCTTTATAAGTTAAAGTGTTTTGGAATACTCACTATGCTTTTTTGTTTGTTTGTTAGTTTTCTATAGGAAATAATCATGTTTAGAACATAATCAAACACTAAATATAGACACCTCTCGTTACATTATGAAAAATTAATCCATTTTACTAGTCTTTACCCGTGTTGATTGTTCACCTACTTTTTATATTAACAAAAATAAAATTATTGGATTTATATCCAAGTTGGTAAAGTTTACAGTAGAATCCTTCTGCACCAATCTCATTGTTTTTCACTCTTACTTTCAAAACCCTTCTCCACAAACTTGATTCATACTTTATCAAAACTCATACGTTGAACATACTTTCTCAACTGAATTATCATAAAAAAGAACACGATGAAACCTCCTGAGTCACATTCCAAACCAATTTTGAGATCAACATCGATACTCTCTGCGAATTCTCAGGAGTAGGCGACTGAGTAACCAATATTGTTTTGCTAGGTTGCTAATAAACAATTCTATTTGGTTCTTATCCACAATGCAACAAAAAATTAAGCCATTGGTTGAACTCAAAATTTTGGCTGAATTATACAAGAATCCTTGAACATTATTAGATACTCCATATGACAATCGCTCCCCATGCTGTTATTCAATTTGGACATTATACCAATATGTGATATTTTGTTTAATGAGGAAACATGTGTCATCCTTAAGACCTTAACAATACATTATGTGCTTGCTTTGATGCAAAATATGTTTTCTGTGGAGACTTTGAGAATAACTGCTCATAATCCCTTACGACAGAAACAGAAAATGACACCGTAGCAAAAAAATAAATAAATTTTAGAATAATAAAGTTAAATTTTTTTCTTTAATGTAAAAAATAGTGCATTCCCTCACTTTCTTTTCAATTTGGAAATAATGCCTTTTTGCACGTGGAACTTACAAAAACATTTTCTCTCTCTCACAACGTGAATCTAAACGAGAAAGAAATCACCTCTTTTTCTACTCTCTTTTTTCCTTCACGATTCTACCAAACCATAGTGTTAGAGACCAGTTAAAATAATTAAGAAAATATAATATACAAAAAAGAATATCAATTTTGGTTTGATGCAAAAGTTATAAGAATAGCTTCAAAGTAAATACATGTTTGAAAATGAGACTCAAGTTTTAAACGATATCCCTAAAATCGTGCCATAAGTGATTGCTTACTTTGAAGGGTGAAGACTTGCGTAATAAAATAAAATATGGGGAGCAATTCTTATTTTGATGGGAATAATTCATAAGAAAAGGATGTGGCAATCCTAACAAAGTAACAATTCTATATTCGACTAGTTTCAAAGTATTTTGAAGCTTAGTTGCAAGGAAGAAGCAAATCACTGGCAAGTGAAACATTAAAATTGGAATAGGGGTGCACTAAAATGTGCTTAGTATTAGAGAGTCGAGACTTGCGTTTAATGGGAGCAAACGTGAAAGCAAACACGTTTCAAATGTGGGCAGGGGCAGGGATACTTAGTTTTGCTCCTTCGAAAGTGGACCAATGCCTATAATTCTAAATGACTTTACTGCTTAATTGCATGGAATTAATGATGGGCCTGTAATGGCCCGGGATCATGCCCGTTGCATATAAACATAAATAGATCGATGAAAAATTGAAAATGAATACACCGGAATGAGATAAAAATAATAATTATTTACTAATTTCTTTAACATTCTACTTACGTTTTAAACAATAAAGCAATTATTACCCTTTCATCAGAAAAAGAAAAAAAAAACTATCAATAATTTAGTTCCACTTTATTTCATCCTATTTCAACCATCAACAGTCAATAATAATTAAAAAAAATGTTAGAGAGTAACTTTTCTCTTCAACACAATATCGAATAGTACAACAATGTGTAATGTTTTACACGTAGATACCCCCTGATTTTCGATAGGCAGGGAAGGCGACGGATTTCATTTCACAAGCCCTTTCTAGTATACAAAAAATGGTTTCTCACTTTCTCATGCTTTAGCTTTAAAACATGATTCATCACAATCTGTCCTTACCGTTTAGGAACGTGACTGAATAGATTGGCAACTCTCAGAATATGCTACAATCTGGTGATAAGTAGTGATTATCAGATCAGAAATTCGTCGAGAATACAATATTTCTATATTCTAGCACTGCAAACTCAAAACAAGTTCTAGACAAATTTTTGGAGAGAGAATAAATGAAATACGTAAGCTAGCAATCAAACTCAGCAACTAAGATATATAATGAGGTGGTCTCAGAATAGCTTATCCAGTACAATTTAAGCAATTGGTATAAAACGTATGATTTTCACCAAGAAACCTCCTTACTTTACCCAATATTTTTAGTCACAATTATTTGCAACCTATTAAAAACTTTTTGCCAATATGCGAATAGCTCTTCAATAAATAAATGCCGCATGATTAATCATCAACAGGGAAAGGCTAGCTCACTTGATGTCATGAAAAGACGGCAAGACAGCAATAAGAGGGTCTGCATAACCAACAGGCTCTGTAAATCACAAACAAAAGATAGTAAGAAATTTATCACGGCTATGGATGTACACCCCCTCCCCAAACTAATCACCGAATGGTGGAACCAAATTAAACAAATGAATGTAACTGCCATCATTGATGGTCCAAAATAGATTTAAATATTGCAAAAAGGATTGATTATGCAATCAATAATCGCTAAAAAGACAGCAGAAATTAAGACCTTTGAGAGCTAAACAAAGTTTTGCCATTCAGTTAATAGCCAACACCAACTAGAAAACCCATGGAAACTTCAATAAAAATAGTCATATACAGTAAATCAGATAAAAAATATATATATATACAAGATTCGAGATCTGCTCTTTTGGTATGATAATTAAATATATTTTATATAGTGACTGGAATAAGAGTATAGATCCTAGATTCTTAGAACTTGACAAAAACATTTTCCATTTTCATTTTTGCTATCACTAAGAACTACGAAAATGTGACATTATTTTTCACCTTGTTTTTTGTTTAAGATATTTTTGTAATTATTAGGGAAACATGAAATTAAAGCAAAAAAATAAATTCTCACAGACTTAAGCCTAGATACCTGATAAATATGGGGGATACAGGAAATTCTTAAAATTCAAGATCTTTAGATATAATGAGTTAATTATTCATACACTGCCAGTGTAAATTTTTTTACACTGGCAATCAATCATATCTTTTAAAGTTACTTATTTTATTATTATTTCATTAAATAAACAACTGACATGACACTATTAAAATATATGATTGGTTGTCAGTGTAAAATTTTTTACACTGACAGTGTATATGTGATTAACTCAGATACAAATCATACAATAACATGAATACACCTAAATCCTAAACCCTAAACTTGTAAAGTAGGTATATATATATATATATACCTACTTTACATAAATGCATAAAATTTGTCAAGACTTACGAGACATTGATTATTTTACTATAATAGATAATAATATTAGTAGATGATGATCATAATTCACGAAAACAATACCTATGATCATAACAAAACAAAAAAATCATAGTTAAAATGATAATAAATTGATTAGGCATCCATGATACTAGAGTATCATACATACAGGTAAGAAAATGCTCATGTATTAAATGTTCCAAGAAGCTAAAATTCACAAAATTGCAATGGTTATCACTTTCCACTCGCCAATAATTTGCTTCTTCCTTGCAACTAAGCTTCAAAATACTTAACAGAACTTACTAAAATTTAGAACTATTAGGATTACCAAATTATATTTTCCAATATTGTATTACTGGAGGCACAGTACTGCTTTAACTATTTCCATTTTGGATGAACAGCACTGCTATTAGCCTATCACTCTATCTTTCCCCAGAAGCCCTGTGTTACTTTAGTACCATGCCAATAAATCTATGCATTTTTATAACAGGTCATAAACATTATTATACCTCCATCGACAACAAGTAGCTTCAACACTTCTCCAGACACTTCAGACTGCAAGATTTCAAAAATTAAACCAGTCAGAAGTATAATATAATTAGGAAGGAACCACAATTGCAGAAACTGAGGCAGATCACCTTAATAGGAAGTCCAGTGCCAAACTGATCCAAATACCCAACGACTTGTCCTTCTTTGATAAAATCACCCTAGAATTCAATTAGGAAATGAAGACATTGAAAAGCATTTGTAGTCAGTTCAATGAAATTGAGGTCCTCCAACAACTTGACACAGCAACTGTATGATACAGAATATATTAATTACTGCTGAACTACACCAGCAGAAAAATATAAGTCAATCTATATTTGAGTAACAAAGAATATTTAATTCGTATCTGATAGACATGAGGAATTATCACTAATTCTACTCATCAGGGTTGATTCTCTTCTCTTTCCACGGTTTTGGGCTTTTGTTTTGACTAATCTCAATTTTAACCTGGAGGCCTGATCTAATAGTATCTTTCACAGATGAGTTTACAAAATATACTTATTTGTTAGGATGTATTGATATTATCTCCCATAATTTTAAATTCCTGATAGTAGTCAGATTGCAGGATAGCTACTATTTAATTTTTTTTTATAAAGTTTTAATAATGCTTACTTATAAATTCTCAAAAATGATAAAATTACTCAACTAACATTCATAATTAACCAGAGTCATAGGTGAAGTTAAAACAAAACATGAAAAAAAATGTGAACAAAATTCAAATACAAGTTTCTTAGATAGGAAGCAGATATCATCGATCATTGTCTTCCAAATCCATTTCTTCTTTTAAAATTTTCACTACTATTACAACTGTAGATTTCATTTTTGAAAATTGAAATCCCAAAAATAGTCTCCCAGAAAAGCCCAGACTTCTTTTTTCAGAGGGCATTTTTGGAACACATAATGCTTCTAGCACCGTTATGGTCATTGCACTAAACCACTCTGCTATCGCAGCCCCTGTGGCGGGTAAGGGGTGCACCGCACAGCTTCGCTGCTATAGGGGCACTGCAGCGGGCTATTTAAAACCATTATGTCCCCATTATGTGCAAAACTTTAGAATTAATTCTGCTTTTGTAAATGTACCAGAACCAAAAATAAAGAGGTAGAAATCAGAAAAACTGAAAAACTATATGTCAAAGTTCAATTGAAAAGAAAATTTATTACCTTTCTATGGTGATAATGATTACCTACATTACAGATTGGATTTGTGGTCAATTGAAAATCTAGACACTAATTGGCCATAACTACAAAAAATTGTAGTGCCGTTGTGCCTCTGGTGAGTCTATATAACTTTATTAAAGTAATATAAAAATATTTAGAAATTTTGATTATATTTGCATATTTTAAATGTATTAATAACTCTAATGTTTTGTTTATATCAAATAATAATTTTTAAATTAAAATATACATAAAGTAACATAGTAATAGAAAAGTATTTATCAATCTTGTATAAGCTGAGACTATCATTGTTAGTTATTATCAGTTTTTTTATTTTTATAAACACCCAGTTTTGTTAGTTAAATACTTAAATTTAGTTCAAAAATCAACATATGCATGTTATCAAGGTCACATCAGGAGACTAGGCTGACAAGCAAGCAGGATGATACATAGACAACAACTATGTGTTTGCACTGCAGCATTACAAGAGTAGCTCACAGTGCTAGCAGTTGGGCCCTAAATCAGACACAATTAGTTTGAGCAATGCAAAATCTTAGTGAAAGCAGGATGATACATAGACAACAACTATGTGTTTGCACTGCAGCATTACAAGAGTAGCTCACAGTGCTAGCAGTTGGGCCCTAAATCAGACACAATTAGTTTGAGCAATGCAAAATCTTAGTGAAAAACAAGCATATAAGTACCAAAATCCAATGGTTGAGTTCACAATGAAAAGCCAGATGGAGTATCAAGTGAATTGTGTGATATAGGTCATAACAACTTGATGACTTAAAAACACCAGAGAAGAGAATGGATATTGACAAGCATATCACTTGTACCTCTTTACAGATAGGAGGTTGCCTCTTCCCTTTCACTGTTCTACCTCTTCGGAATAAGCCAACCTAATGAGAAAGAAAGAAAAGTGATAACAAAGCTCTAAATAGTTCAAGTAAGAGATAATTATATAAAGCACGACTTAAATCATAAATCGATCAATGATATACCCTGGGAGATGATACTAAGACATAGTTATTGATACCAGAGGCCTCCAATGCTGCCAATCTTGGTGATTTCTCTTTGGAAGCATTTGAAAATGGGTTGGTCTTTTGTGGTGATGATTTTGGTGGTGATGGTGGCAGGGTAGCAGGTGCCGCTGCATCCATAGGTTTACTAGGAATTGGTGGTGGTGTAGTTGGTGAGATGTTAGACAAAGGAGCTTTTGTTGCTCCAATGTTTCGCTTAATATGCATTTCAAAATCTCCAACCTATAACAATACAAGTAAAAAATAAGGTTGTGTACAAGGTCATCCAGCTAAAAGCATGCTTCTTTTGGTGAACCAGACAGAAATGACAGAATTTTATTTTGGAAATTGAGATTACAGATTTGAAGTTAGATTAAAGAAATTAGGCACAATGTTGTGTAAAAAACAAAGCTGATAGTTTTTTATGTTCAAATTTGAATTACAAGAAAAATGATATTTTAGGAAAGGACGTTAGGCACAAAAGCACCACAATCTCAAGCTTCAATTACATCATGCTACAATTTTGATAAAAATAAAATATTACCTTACTGTTACCTCATTTTCTATAAGCCTACTATATCTTGAGTAAGTTAAAACCATCCTTTAACTTAAGTTCCAATGCACCATATAGAACAGTTATAGACATATACAGAGTGAATTGCAAAAAAGCAAACCATACAACATTTTGCTTTAAAATGTACACTGAAGTTTCTTTTCATCCTTGATATTATATTTAAAGTACTGTTCTTCAAATTTTACAAAATCAGTAAACACAAGAGAAGAAGATCACCTTTACTTTCAGTTCAGCAATTTCAGTCTCATCACAGACCTCTAATACCAAAGCCTGATCATAAGAAAACCAGACACAAGTTGTAGTTAACAGATTCACATTTAAACATAGCTGTTAATGAATGCATCTATGCAACCTTGGATAAAAGTCAGCAATCATAAGTAAAAAAAATACTGTACCATCTATTTATTTCTTTTAATAGCTAACATAAGCTGTTTTTATTCATGAGCCTTCTATTGCTAATCCCGCCAAATTATCATTCTTCACAAATAAGAAATATGATTTGCAGGAAAATAAAAGGAAAGAAATCAAAGAATAGATAATAGACCTCAAATCCATTAGGAAAAGTAGCTATTTGCAAAGGCTTTTTCTCCAATGAGTCTTGTGGAGTGCTATTTGAAGTAACTGCAACATCATAAATAATTGAGAGGTCAAGGAGTAAGAAGTTATGTAAAAATTATTAAAGGAAGCTATTCTAAATTTCTAATAGCCAACTATACCAAAGTTATAGTATATATTATATAACCTTCAAACAGACTTTCTCAATTACAATAATAATATTTAGCAACAGGAGTTAGGTGGTATCCTACTATTATGTGTCTATGTAAATAACATAATACCTTATAAATAATTTTAAAAAACCATAAAAATGACATCTTTTGTTTGTAAGGTTTCTCTTCTATCTCTTTTTTTTTCTTTATAAATTTATAAAATTGCAGCCAAAATTTGTTGCAACTGTTTAATATATCTCAAAATCTTAAGATATAACTAATTAAATTTTATAACTAACTAAGAAGATAATTACACTAAGCACAAATAATTGTATCAGACTTTTTTCATTCAAACAACAGCCAGAAAGAACATAAAAATTAAGGACATAATTCATTTCACAATCAATATAACCCACCATCAGACTTGGATTTGTTGATAGCTTCAGCTGTTTTTGCGCATGAAACTAGTGTGTTCTTCCCCTTCGTGTGGAAGTTAATGTGCTTCTGACCATATGAAAAATGCTGGATGAAAAGTCTAGTTTTAGAGTTTGATCTGACATTATGGATGGGAACTAATACTTGCTTCCCAAGGGAGGGTCGCATATGGGACATAGTGCCAATGGGATCTGAAATCCAAGAGTCATAATTAAGCATCCGATTGCAATGGTAAAATTGGTCAATTAAAAATATAAAAACATTGAAGTATTAAAAAATATCGTATTATGAAAATTGACCCTTTAAGTTAACCTTAAAGCCTAAAGGCATTAAGAATCATTCCAAGAAGTATTAAACCTACTCAAAAAGCCAGGGAAAAAGAACAAAACTCATTGTTCTGTTTAACAGAAATAGATCAATAAAAGAATTAACTAACCAACATAACACGAAGATTTTTGACAATGTTTCCAATCAAAATGTAAATAGTATACAGCATATCTATACCACCAAAGTTATTTGAAAAAGAAAAAAAAAAAACAGAGTCCCTAGTCATCTGTTGTGCTCTTATATGACCGAACAGAATGCCAATAACATGGTCTTAGGAGATTGGAAAGTTTCCTTTGGTTATTTGTAGAAACACGAAGGAGTACATTCAACTGCCTTCATGACAAATTTTATGCTTGTGATTCTAATAAATAAGTTACACTAAGCACTAGCATAAAATAACTTTCCTGCTGCTACACCAGTTTTCTGATAACTTCTTCAGAGTTATTCTTCAACTCTTTTTTTATTTTTAAATTAAACTTCGAATATAATAGCCAATACAACCAGTTACTTAAGGATGAAACGTTTCAAAGGTCCGTGCAAATCTATAAAAAGCATCTACGATCCTTTGCAGCAAGCGTGTTTCGACTCCTTAGTCAAAATAAACAAATAAATCGGCAGAACCAGAGGCTTCATCCTAAGTTCAGCATTTAATTTAAAAAAACGAATATAACATTTCATATAACTAACGATATTTGAACAAAGCAAAAATGCAACCGTTAAATCTTTCCAACACTATCACAAATCTAGCGAGCATCTTCGCAATTACATACATCTCGATTTCACACGTCGCATAAATTCGAGCAAATAAAACGGAAAAGCAACAGAGCAAGATCAGAAATCGCAAACACAGAGCAGAGATCGCACTCGGCGAAGCAAGTTCATAAGAAAAATGCAGATACAAATGAAGAGAGAGAGAGATACAGTGAAAGGATCGAATGGCAGCGGAGGAGTCCATGGCGCGTGAGAGGAAATGGAAACGGAAGGGGAGGGAGAAACAATGGAACTTATAGAGAAGAAAGTGAAGTTAAGTTAAAGGAAAGAAGAAAGAGGTGGATAAATTAGTTGCAGTGACTGTGTGCGCTCTTTGAGATTTCCGCCCTTCTAATCACCTTCGTCGTTCCAATCTAGGAGCTTCTCATTGCTAACGTGCGCCGGGATGTGACTAGTTCGTCTCACATGGATCCTCCTCTCCCACCAAGGTTGGTAAGACTTATTAATTTCTTAATTAAGGTTTTTTTTTTTAATATTAAACTTTAAGACATTTAGAAAATATCTTAGACTTCAAAGTATATTTACCGACAAATAAATATCATAATTGTAATTGTAATAATAAATAACCTTATAAATGACCGTAATAAGATTGTATACATGTCTTAAAAAATATAAATATAAATTATTACGATAATTTTTTTTAACCTAAAATATCATTATTGAAAGAGTAAAAATTATCATAAAAATAATTAATTTTTTATTAATTATTTAACGATGATAAACATTTTGAGATAAATTAAAGTTCCAAAGTAATAGACAATACGAGGCAATTTAATGTTTTGATATTATATAATCTGCTGACTAACTTATCATGAGATTTTAAGTTAATTAACCTATTTAAAATTATATTTTTAATTCATTAGTAAAAGAAATATTATAGTATTTAATTATTTATAGAGTAGGCTTCTAAATATGTTTTCAAATTAAGTCAGGTTTTAATCAACTAAGAAGAACTACATTAAATGAACTGATCAAATTTATTTGCATATTTTTTCCTACTTTGTTTCGTCTCATTTACACGTTATGTTTCTTACTTATTTCGTATAGGATCATACGTATAAATTTATGTATTAATAATGATTTTGTCCTCTAAAAAAATGATTTTGTATATATAGAAAATATAGGTTGTTAAATTGAAATTATATATGCATTTAGTTAATGTTATTGGTAAAAATTATAAATATATTATTTATATTATATATTAAGAAATCGTTGAAAAAATATGATGGTTAAATTATGAGTGGCATAAGAAATTAAACTAGTGTACATGTACTATGTTCTGTATTTGTGTTTTGTAAAATAAAAATAATTATCAATCAAGTAGCAGTATTGTTAATAGAAAAAATAAAATTGAAAAATGAGATTCCACTAAAAATTATTAAGTTTCTTGACAAATATTAATTATTAACAAAAATTAATAGATACATTATATTAATAATACAATTAAAAAAATCATGCGTAACATAATAAATTAAACTAATATATATATATATATATATATATATGCATAGTTGAGTTTATTATATATATTTTTTAAATTTTATAAAAGAGTATTTTAAATAAAAATATTTTATCTCAAGAATATAATGTTAAAATATGTAAATAATAATGATTATAATAATGATGATAGTGATTAGGAAATATATAGATAACTGGTGCATTTCTCTACAGATTTTTAAAAAGTAAAATTACACATTTGAATTTCCTATAATATTTTATTTGTAATTTTAATCTTCCAATTTTTAATCTTACAATTTTGATCTCCTAAGTTTATAAAATTTGTAATTTTATTTTCTTTACTAAATATTCATTTATTGATTGTTAAAATTGTAACGACTATGATCTAACATTAAATAAATGACATGATAAAATTTAGACCAAAATTTTATTTTTATTTTTTATTTTTATTTTTATTTCGTAAAAATGATAAAATAATTAAAATGATAATTAAAATTATAATTTGATCTAAATATTATTAAATATTAATTTTTATGTTATTTATCTAATATATGGACATGATGAATGTTAAAATTTTAATGATTAATGAATTAATGTTTAATTAAAAGATCAAAAATAAAAATTTTATAAAACTAATGACTAAAATTATAAAAAAAAATAGAGAATTAAAATTATCAATTAAATATTATAAGAGATAAAAATATAATTTAATCTTAAAAAAATATTTTTAACGTAACTAAGGGTTAGGCCCGCAATGATAATGACTTTCCTCTTCTCTCTCTTTTCATGATTAACTTGCAAGTAGTGTTTGCAGGCTAGGATGTGGGTGACTTGCGATGACGAGGGTAGCTTGCAAGTGACAATAAAAAATAAAAATGTAAGCAAAAATTATATAGTGTGTCCCTGAATGATGAACATGAAAGAACGTTTATTGAAAGAATAGATGGAGAAATAAGTTTGATTTATGTATGTAACAATATGAGATGTTGAAATAAAATAGTAATTTCAGAGAGGGCTAAGCAGCAACGTGGAGATGCACTATTTCTCGAAACTCCAACCTCCTAGTTTCATTGAAGAAGGTGACACGTTTGTTAGGCAAATAAGTTAACCAAATCCAACCTCGAATCTCCCACTCCATGGTCTTCCCGACGGCCCCTTTGTCGACTTTCCACCAGACTTTGTCTCCATACTCATCGCCGGCGAAAATGACCCCTCCTTGCCTGGTGAAGGGTCGATAAGCACTGGAGTAACGGTTCTTGAACCATGACTTGGGGTTTAACATGGCGAACTTGGAAGGCTTGGAGGAGAAAACCTCTTTGCCGTCCATGATATCGTGAAGAAACCAGTTGAGGTTGGCGCTGTAGCCGTAAACGGATTCCTCGAACTTCCAAGGCTTGAGACTCACCGTCGCGCTCTCTCCGGCTGATACCTTGAGCCCCAAGGGCTTCGATGCCTCGAACGAAGCTTCCACGCTTTTGTCTAGGCCGATTTCTTTCTTCGGATTCTCTGAGGATTTCCCAACTGAGAGGCTCAACACTTGGTCTTGGAGAGTGGGTGTCAGTTGCAGACTTATTCTTGAAGGAAAATGTTTTTCTGCTGCACCAGCCCCTCGTTCTTTCATTAGGGAATCATTCACCAGTTTCACAACATCGCATCTATCCACAAACAATGTAAATTCAATTATATACAATCACTTCATCAATGAATGTCATTTTAATCACCAACCGATATAAAATCATTATTACGAACATTGACATCATTGTTAAGGATTAATTTCTTTAAATACTAAGATTTATTTAAAGAGTTAATATTTTTTCATACAAATAAATTAGTTATCAAACTTCTCATCACATATTTAATAGACAATATTATAAATTAAAATTACCATAAAAAATGTTACTTAATTTTGTTCTTAATTCATTAATTTTTAAAAGAGGAATGAAAAAGGAATGTTGAACCTTAAGAAAATTTCAAGTCTAAGTCCAAAACACTACAAAATAATTATCTTGTAATGACACAATTTATAATAATACAATATTTATTATTAAAAATTATTTTTACCTATATTATAAATATGTTGATCTTGTTTAAAGGTATATGTATAAATTATAATGACATACAATATATATAATCGAATCTTATTCAAAATCAACACTAAAATTGTGTAAATATATTATAAATAGAATTATATTTATATATATTATATATATAATGGTACTTTTTATATGTTATTATATGTAACATTTCATATAGCGTAAAAATCTTATAAAATTAGAAATTGAGCTTAAGATGAACAAATTATCAAAGGGAGAACAACTAAGAAAAAAAAAGGTGAAAGAAAAAACCTTTAAATAATTAAAGCTAATGAACCAACATATCTTACAAATGATAACAAAATTTCTAATAACAATATGAGCATAAGCTAGCTAATTAATGACTATAAGCCGAATAATATTTTTATAAAAATACTTGTAAGAAAAAAAAATGAAATAAGTATCTCTTCATAAGTTAAAATTAACTTAAATATAAGTTAATTTTTAAAAATTTTCACATATAATTTATCCAAAAAGAATTATAAATTAACTAATGCATAAATTATTAGTTATATAATTGTGAAAAAAATTATTTTATTTTTTTTATAAAAGTTTATCCAAACTAACCGTCCTAATTAATTTGTTTGGTTGAGATGTCGCTTATCGACTTTACATGCTTCTCTTTTTGAGATAAAATATTGGTGGTTACCTAATGTTGTCAATGTTCACCATGATTTCAACCCCCTCCTCTTTGATTGAGACTTTGTGATTGAACTGAAGAATACCTTCCATCTGGTGATATTTGAGGGAAAACTGAAGCTTCTCACTTGCTGGATTGCTTTTTGAATTCTCAACATCCATGGCTACGATAGGACAATACAACTGCACTTTCCACAACCCAGATGTTGAAAATGCACCAGAATAAAAAGGGCACGGTGTTGTGAAGTTGTTGTGATGAGGTTCGAGTTCCCCAACCCAGTTAGTAATTCCAAGGTTCACAGAACGCATCCAAAGCTCTTGTAAGTTAGACCCCAAGAGTTTCATAAGCATGTTCGATGCTTGTCTTGACTGAAAACCTGTCAAGTGGTCTTTCAAGTGGCTAACACATTCAGAACGAAGATCTGCAGCAGGAGCTTCATATATGCAAACTAGGAACAAGAGAGTGAAGAAAGAGAGGTTGAAAATGTCTGGAAGGTAGGGAATAGAGTCAAGTTTTGGAAACCTGATGAAGAAACTATTTTTGTTTGACCCATAGAGAAGGATGGCTTGGATGAAATTATCAAAGAGGTTGAAAATGGTTTCTTCATCTATTAACTTGTTGGTGGTTTTGGAGGATGGCTTGAAAGGTTTTGTGGTCCAAAGGTGGATTGGAATGTTGAAGTCTGCAATGATGACAAAAGCGAGTTTCGATGAGGAATGATGGTCTTTGGTTATGGTGAGATTAAGACATGGTTGGCACGAGGTTGAAGAGCATATGTTTAAGGACATGGAGCTTGTTTCCCATTCTGAGATTGGTGGAAGGTTCTGAATCCATAAGAACACATCAGGGAAGCTGTAAGCCATGGATTGAAGCCACTAATTAATTAACTCTCTCTCTCTCATTCGGGTGCAACCAGGTGGGGCTTCACATATTTGTAGACTCTTCCATTAACCAAATATTCAAGTGAGGGAAGAATTATCAAAAGAATGTACATGAGACATGATTGGTACGATCATTAATTATACATGGAAAAACTAAAGCAAGATGGCTAATTCGACAAGAAAATATTACACCTATCACATGTAAAACTAGTTTTATATCACACTTTTAGTTGATATAAAACTATTTTAGACTTGCAAAAAGGATTACGTATTATTTACACACATATTAAGTTCAATAATATTAAGTATGAAAAAATTTATTAGGACAATTTTATATTCAATCTAAATCATTTAAAAAGAATTACTTATTATTTATTCATACATCAAGTCTAATAATACTGAATGCTGAAAAGTGTATCAAAAAAATTTTAGATCTTATATATTGACTAGAGATAAGACCAATATAGAATATAAAAAAAAATTATTTAATAAATCAATTTTATATAATTAAATTAACTTTATAATCCATTTCTTAATAGTATTGTTTATCTGGAAAAAAAAGTGCAAATATGAAGAAATATGTAGTAAAATTTATGGGTATATAATTTGAATATATATGTTGGAATTAAGTTTTTGGGTGTATTGGATGAAATGGAAAAAAATGATCTTTATATAATTATTTAAATGTTACTTATAACCACAATTCTCAAATCTAAAAATGTAAAACAAAAATAATTAAATACACAATTGGTAAAAAAAAATAAAAAATAAAAAACTAAACACACAGTACAAATCGTATGAGATTATGATTTATCCTTATAGATAAATTAGAAAATAACTAAAGAAATTAGAGATAAAAGAAAAAAATTAAAGAAATCCTTATTTATGATTTTATATTAATATTTATGAAAATTCACAGGGAAAAAAGTAAATAATATATTATATTTTTCTTTTTTACATTTAATATATTTTATTTATTATATAGACTAAATATAAATATGGTACCCCTACAAGCGACTGTATGTACTCTATCTTTTGCTGATAGCTGAGGTAATTTTAAAGTTTTATGAGAGTTATCACGACAGCATTCATAGCCAAATTGGTACTCGTCGACGTCATCTATTTGATTGTAAAAAGGACCATTGATTCATTTACGTACATACAACATGTACATGAAAATCATAGTTAAGGTAATACTTGATGAATAAGATAGTCTGTTACAGATGGAGATTCGTGTGTGATAAATGGTTATTATCAGTGCTATCTGGTAAGTTGCTCATTGGGTCTCATTATTACCTTATTTTCACATGTTTTGTTGGCATTGAGAGTGACGACCCTACCGAGGACAGAAAGATAACGACAGGGATAACAAATTCAGAAAAAGCTCTCTACATAGGCAATTTTGATTAAGAAAAATATCAAATCAGATTGATAGAACATAATTCATTAGGCAAAGATGATTACATGCACGTAACGAGAAAAATATGAAGTCGCTAAAATTGGGATAGCCAGGAATTTGAGTATTTTGAACGAAGACTTAAGTTTAAATCTTATCGTTTTCTTATCTTTGAAATAAAATGTAGTTTTTGCCATTAGTCTTACAAAAATATAAGTATTATTCAACTAATCACATGTCTTTTCAAGAAGTAAAGAGTTGAGAGTAATATGCAGAAATAATTCTTCACCGTGCAAGTGTAAAGTTCTTCTTCTTTTTACTGTTAATCAATTAAAATATTTCTTGATAACGATTTAGTTAAATTATATACTAATTGAATAAACGAGAGAAAAAAATCCTAGCTAAAATAAATCTAATTAATTAACAGTCCAATTAAATCTATTGCAAGCAGAATTTCGCAAAGGGAAAAAAAATCTTTTGAAAAAAATAATATTATAATAGATGTTTTAAAATTAAAAAACACAATTCCCAATTACAAACCAATTAGGAGACACTTAGTCGGTTAGTCTAATGTTTACGCCACCAAATTTTTAGTTGATAACGTTTAAAAGCAATTGATGATCTCTTTCAAAGAATTTTTTGTCAATAATACCCAGGTTTCAGATTTTGTTTTCTTTGAACAGATTTCAGATTTTGTTTGTAAGAGGAATTTGGGATCTTCATAAGAATAAGACAAGGTGAATAAGTTCATTTAAGATGGATTATGCGACTTTAATTTGAGTTACGTGTAAGGTTTTGTAATTATGTGTACACACATGTATGTATAAGGGTGAGATTTTTTTTTTTTTTTTGGGGAAATATGAAAGATAAACAAAGCAAACAACTCAAGACATAGAGTCTCTCCCTAATGGAAGTAAAATAAAGTCTGGAGGACTCCTCCAAAATACATTGGAACCTAAGTTCCCTACACCCCAAGTAGCAAGCGTATGAGCTACTGAATTAATCTCTCGAGGAATATGACTGACATAAACTACCCAATCCCGAGCAAGGAGTTGCTGAACACGACAAATAACATCATAGTGCTTGTGCAGGTAATCTCTGTCCGTTGGCCGATCTTGAAACAACTTTACAGCTCCCAGGCAATCACATTCACAAGTCACCATCCGAAAACCACCGTCCCAACAAAACACTAGGCCCTCCTCCAAGGCCAACAACTCAGCACGTAACGCATCCCCATGTAAGACTCCATGCGAAAAGCCCCCCCGCCACATACCTGCCCAATCACGGATTACTCCACCCATTCCCATAGCAGACGTCTCCCTCAACCAACTTTCGTCCGTGTTTAGCTTGATCCACGGGTGCTCCGGAGGCCTCCAAATGGCTTGTTCCTCCCATAGGCGCCTCTTAACGTTATACACACTGTTCTCCACCATGGATAGTATCACCTTCCGACGGACCACCGAAATTGGCCAGAGGCCATCGTTAAATACCATGTTATTCCTAAAACACCAGACCCACCACAAGGTGATGGATAACGTAGTAGCATCCTTGTGCAAGATGATCCCCTTCAGCCACTGAAAACAGTCCATTTCAAAAAAGGACCAACCCACACTACACCCACCAGACATCAGCACCAAAAACAGTCCATTTCAGAAAAGGACCAACCCACACTACACCCACCAGACATCAGCACCTCTCGTGAATATGGGCAATCCTGAAGAGCATGTAGAATGGTCTCATGAGGGCAAGAGCAACGCGAGCATGCACCTGACTCTGCCAACCTCCTGTCAACCCGAACCTGATTTGTTGGGAGGGCTGAATGAAGGCATTGCCACAAAAAGAACTTAAGCTTCTCAGGAATCATATTCCTCCAAAGTTTCTTCCAAACAGCAGCCCCCTCCGCTGCCAGCCCTCGGGTTAGAAAACGATACCCAGATGTCGCTGTGTAGCAACCCGAGATATCACCCCTCCAAGCAAAATGATCCCACCCAAAAGGGGAATTGCCAACACTCAACTGTTGGACAGAGTTTATCAGTTCAGTTGAAAGAACCGTATACAAGGCATTGAAGCTCCAATCTCCACTAACCCAGCAGTCGGCAACCTTTTTGTTGGTATCCGCGATATGAACAAAGGGGACCTTCCCGCACCAAAGCCCATTCGGAATTGCCAACACTCAACTGTTGGACAGAGTTTATCAGTTCAGTTGGAAGAACCGTATACAAGGCATGGAAGCTCCAATCTCCACTAACCCAGCAGTCGGCAACCTTTTTGTTGGTATCTGCGATATGAACAAAGGGGACCTTCCCGCACCAAAGCCCATTACCTGACCAGTCCTTGTACCAAAGTGATGAGTCTCCTGATCCTAGATGAGGCTTGAATCCCTCCCGGAGTGAGGGAAGGGCCTTAAGAATACTCGACCAGACTGAAGAAACACCCCGCTTGTTTTGAGCACTCAGGACAGAAGCTCCATGTAGGTAGAGGTTGCTGAGGAGTTGAACCCAAGGCTTCTGTGGAGCCGAAAGCAGGTCCCAAGCTAGCTTTCCCAGGAGTGATACATTCACCCTGCGCGCCTCTCTAACCCCAAGACCACCTAACTCTTTAGCTTGAGTGACAACATCCCAACTCACTGGAGACCAAAACCGAGTATTATCAGACTTAGCCCAGAGCATGCGACGGCAAGCCTGATCGATTCGATTACACACTGCTTGGGGAAGCCACAATGATTGCATGCTATATACGGGAATAGAGGAGATGGTAGACTTCACCAGACACAACTTCCCAGCCTTATTGAGAAGCTTGGCCTTCCAAGCCGCCAGTCGACCCTGAATCTTATCCATCACATCATAGAAATCTGCACACCTCGGCTGACCATGAGTCAAGGGAACACCTAAATACGTCCCGATCCGAGCTGTAAAGCTAATCCCTAGCAGTCCTTCCAATGTTTCAATCCTCCTCTGTGAAACTTCCCTAGAGCTCACAAACTTAGACTTAGTCAAGTTGACTCTTAAGCCTGATAAACGCGAAAACTCCTCCAAGATTGATGCCACCAAACGAGCATGGTCTTCTGAGGCTTGACAAAACAGTAAGATATCATCAGCAAAGAAAAGGTGTGAAAGCAGTAGCCCCCCAGGAGATAGCTGAATCGGTTTCCAAAGACCCTCCTGAAGCAATTCAGATATCCTAAGGGCTAGGCGCTCCATGCAAAACACAAACAGATACGGAGATAATGGGTCTCCCTGCCGAAGTCCTCGAGCTGGGGCAAAAGACGGTAGTGTGCTTCCATTCCAAAGGAGTGAAATCGACGAATTCTTTAACCCCCACATAATAAGTTGAACTATAATTGTAGGAAACCCAAACTGCACCAGCGTAGACTCCAAGAACTCCCACCTGACCCTGTCGTATGCCTTCTCAAGGTCAATTTTTAAAGCCAAGGAACCCACCCCTGAACCGTCTTTCCGAACGAAATGAAAGGCCTCCTGAGCAATAATACTGTGGTCACGAGTCCCCCTCCCAGGGATAAAACTACCCTGGAAAGGACCAATGACGCCCTGCAAGAACGGTCGAAGACGAGCGACAAGTACTTTGGAAATAACCTTCCAAGCGACGTTGCATAAGCTAATAGGACGAAATTCTTTAAGGCTAACCGGGTGGTTCACCTTCGGAATCAACACCATTTGTGTCTCCAAGAGTGATAGGTCCGAGTACCCCAACCGAAAGGCCTCCCTCACTGTACGCCATAACTCATCACCCACAATAGGCCAATATTGCTTGAAAAAGAACGGTTGAAACCCATCC